CTGGCCTTGAACTCACAGAGATCTGCCTGCCTCTGCCTCCCAAGTGCTGGGATTAAAGGCGTGCGCCACCACCGCCCGGCTATATATTTTTTAATAGTCATACGTCGATGTTGGGCTAGCCGGAAGTTGGTAAGGACATGATACAGAAGGGATTCATAACAGCTAAGTGAAAGGCCTGTGGAAAGAGATGGGTAAAGCCTGCTGACAACTCTTGAGCCCCCTATGATCTTCACACGTTTCCTGTTTGGATAAGCTTGTGATAGGATGTATTCTTAAGGTTTTTTTTCCTAATAAGAAGAGTTGTTCATACTAATTGTGACCATTTGGTAGAAGAAAAATGGCCAAGAATTTAATTAAAAAAAAAAAAAAGTCAGTGGTGATGGTATAGATCTGTAATTGCAATCTCCAAGTCAGCCTGTGCTGTTTAGTGAGTTCAAGGCTAGTCTCAATAAACAACCAAGTCTATAATTCCATTATCTGGAGGTGACATGGAAGTATAGTTATCTATTCTTTTCTCTATTGAGGCGTATATAAATTTGTTATTGTTAATATTTTATTTAGCTTTAAATTTCCCTTAACCAGGTCACTGAAGAAATCTAGCCTGCCATAATCAGGAAAAGGAAGGCTTGTTGGTTTTTTATTTGTTTGTTTATTTTTTCTAAATTTATTTTTATTTTATGTGCATTGATGTTTTGCTTGTATGTATGTCTGCGTGAGGGTGTCAGATCTTGGAGTTACAGACACTTGTGAGCTGCCATGTGGGTGCTGGGAATTGAACCTGGGTCCATTTGGAAGAGCAGCCAGAGCTCTTAACCACTGAGCCATCTCTCCAGCCCCTCTTTGCTTGTTTCTGAGTCTTGGTCACATATAGTACAGGCTGGCCTAAAATACACACAGTAGCAAAGGTTGGCCTTGAACTCCTGACCCTCCTGCCTCCACTTCCCAAGTGTTGGGATTATGCAAGAGTTTTCTGTGGGATTTGTCTGGTTAGTTGTTTGTTTGCTTTTTAATATGAATGTAACTTTTATTTCCCTATAAACATCTTGAATTTTCTAAATAGAACATGGACACTTTTATGTTATTAAATATACCTTAGCCATAATCCTTCATTAAAAGTATCTCTCAGAGCTAGACCTACTAATCAGAATTTCTGGAAATGGGGCACCAGTAATTTTAGTTCTGCAGGTGAACTGAATACCTACCCTGGCTATGGACTACAGTTCTCTGCTATTGCTTTATAATGCCTACAAGACATTAGGTGAATTTAACTCACAGATGGCTGAAATTTAAGTTGTCACTATTTCAACAATGTTTCACTCAACATCCCACTAGTAACTAAGTCTTTGCATGTATACATAATGCTTTACTTAGGGTAAATATTTTCAGACAGAATGCATGTTCTGTTTTTAATCTTATTGTTTCTTTATCACTTGCATTTTTATTGTTAGTGAAGTTAAGCATTTTTATATTGCCTATATGGACATATAGATATGGATATAGACGTATGGCATAAGTAAGTCGCCTGTTAGTACCTTTGTTCATTTTTCTACTTGTGTGTGTACCTCTTTATTTACAGGAGTCCTTTATACTTTTAGGAATACTGATACATACATGATTATGTGTGCTGCAGACCTTTTGTCCACTTGGTCTTCAGCCTTTTTGGTCTGGTTTGGTGTGTGGTGCTGTGCCCAGCTGTTCGTTTTTATGAGGTCACTCAGCCTGACAGTCTTTCTCCCTTGTTGCACTTGTCTTGTTAGAAAGCCTTAGGAGAAGATCTGCCTCCACCCTGCTCGAAGTGCTGTTCAGGACTTAACTCAGACACATAAAATTAAATTGGGCCCCTGAGGGTCTCAGCCCTGCTTTATACCCTGATTACTGTGAGCAAGCAGGCTGGCTTTCATTTAAGCATACTTTCAGCAAAGAAGGCGCCTAAGAATGCTTACTGGGGCTTATGCAACATTCTAGGCCCTTCCCCCAGGCATTTTATCTACCTTCATATCAGCTAGATAATTTTGTCTCTATTGAGACCAGAAAAGATTTATATCTTACTAAGTTCTACTGTTCTTATCTTTAAATGAAAAAAGTCAGCAAAAATACTTTTCCTGTGTAAAAAAAAATGCTGTATAATATACATACACACACACACACACACACACACACACACACACACACACACATACTTCAAAAGAAGCCTCCAAGTACCTAAACTGAAGAAGAAAAAGTTTGATCAAGCCAATAATTTTGTGGAAAAAACAGAACAAAAGAAAACAAGGGACTAAAATAGACCTTATGGTTCACAAAATCAACTCCGTTCTTTCTGGGATGTACAGTAAAACATGAACAGATGAAATGCCTTGAAAGATTTCAGAATGATCATTAGCTAGTAGGTAATTTCCTCTGCGTAGACCAGACTGTGCAGCTTTTCCAGTGAGTACAAACTGTACCATTAAGCTTTTGTCTCCTTCTCCTGTGGTTACCTTCAGAAGTTACCATGATCCCAAAGAAACCTTGCTGCTGTACTCAAGGCTTTTATGCAGTCTTGCTGGGTTAATAAGGGGTCATTACCACAAGGTTTAAAAGCACCTCAAATATCTACCCTGCTTGATGCTAAATTACATAAGCAGGTGTTCTCGTGAATAAATGTCCACTGACATTTCTAAACTAAAAGGTTATTTTTTAAAGTCTTTAACATGTCAGAGTTTCCATGTATCACATCTCTCACTTCAGCTAAGTCTTAGAAAGCATTTCCATCAGCATGAGCAATACTCTTGAGTCCCTGAGGATGGTACCCTGGTAGTGCTGAAGGCTTCTGACACAGGACCGCTTACAGCTTTTCCTGCTTATGCCCTTGCACGTGGCAGAATTAGCAGCTGCTCAAATCATGGACTCAAACATTCTAACTTGACACAAAATTTGGCCAGAATAAGTTTTGCTGTTAGGAATGATTTTTTTTTCCTTCCTCCTGGATAACGTACCTGAGTATGAATCCTGTCAATAAATGAAGTTTACATCTTTGAAAGGTATTACATTGTATGCTAATACAATTTTAGATTAAATTGTTCTTATGTAGTGCAGATATTTTCATAGCCCTGGCTTTCCAAACACTTCCCAAAACAGTTAGAGAAGAGCTGGAGATTTGTCTCTAAGCCAGACCTCGGGTTGAAATCTGTCCTCTGTTTAAGGGTGAGTTCAGTAGAGATGGAACAGGCCTCAAGAACAGATCTTAAGATCTGGCTAAAAGGATAGCCGGGCGGTGGTGGTGCACGCCTTTAATCCCAGCACTCAGGAGGCAGAGCCACTCGGATCTCTGTGAGTTCGAGGCCAGCCTGGGCTACCAAGTGAGTTCCAGGAAAGGCGCAAAGCTACACAGAGAAACCCTGTCTCAAAAAACCAAAAAAA